ATGATATTTATGTGATTTGTAGCGACATACGTTAGGTGTGAAGACGTCAACGTTAGTATCGGATTTACCTAAAACTACATAACTATTGAGACTATTGGTCATTACAGTCGCATTATATTAGCTGAGACTACTGGGCATAGACAATAGTGATAAATTTACTCAGACTGCTGGACATAAAAAGTAGTGCTGTGATTGTACACCTAGGCAAAAATGGGATAGCGTTAATTATTGTTGGTTGGTCAAATATTGATATTAAATTCTAATGTGGATTATATTATTATTGTGTTGTGTTTGGGTAGTTTCTTTCTCAAATGTACTCACTGAACGTGTAATTTTGCTCACCCCTCCACAGTTGGTTGTCTCAGGAACATGGGAAATAGAAGATGGTCCACTGGGTAGTCTAGATTGACATATAGAGGTNATATGATAACACAAAATTATGTTTATTAAGTTAATTTTTAGTCTATAGAAAAAAATATAAACATGATTTAATTAAGTGAAAATAAAATATTAACGTTAAATTTTTTATTCAAAGTTTATGTAGGTAAATACAAATACAATATGAAAATAAACAGGTCAATTCGACACGACACAAGTAGTTAAATGAATTAGATTAGGGCTGACTAATGTTCAACACGAACCCACAATGACCCAACACGAGCCTGACACGACACGACTCGATTGTCAATCATAATTTGAATCAATATTTGTTAATTTATTAACTTACAAACACGTCATTAAACCTAAGAGTTGGATACATTATAGTAAATGAAAAGAGATACATTGAGAAGATAACAAGTTAAACTTGATTATCACTTATGCATGGGTAACATAATATTTCTTGTTTGTGAATGATATTTATGTGATTTGTAGCGACATACGTTAGGTGTGAAGACGTCAACGTTAGTATCGGATTTACCTAAAACTACATAACTATTGAGACTATTGGTCATTACAGTCGCATTATATTAGCTGAGACTACTGGGCATAGACAATAGTGATAAATTTACTCAGACTGCTGGACATAAAAAGTAGTGCTGTGATTGTACACCTAGGCAAAAATGGGATAGCGTTAATTATTGTTGGTTGGTCAAATATTGATATTAAATTATAATGTGGATTATATTATTATTGTGTTGTGTTTGGGTAGTTTCTTTCTATATGTTTCAAATGTACTCACTGAACGTGTAATTTTGCTCACCCCTCCACAGTTGGTTGTCTTAGGAACATGGGAAATAGAAGATGGTCCACTGGGTAGTCTAGATTGACATATAGAGGTTGACGTTGGAATGTACGATATGTCATGTAACATATAATTGTACATAGTTTTTGTTAGTTGTAAAGAATGCTAAAGGGATTGGTGCCCAAGTTGTGATGTAATTCTGCACAATGTAAATGATATTTTTATATTTTGTAATGACTTGAAAATAATAATTATTATACAGGTCAACTACTCTGGTTTAGTTGTGGATTATAGAGGTTGATGATGGAATGTACGATATGTCATGTAAACATAATTTTACATAGTTTTTGTTGGTTGTAAAGAATGCTAAAAGGTTTGGAGCCCAAGTCGTAATGTAATATTGTACGATGTAAATGACATTTTTATATTTTAGTAATGACTTGAAAATAATAATTATTATACAGGTTAACTACTCTGGTTTAGTTGTGGATTAATGGTTAACAAATTTAGAGTTACCCACACTCTATCTCTCTTCCAGGATGGGGTGTGACAATGCAACTATACATACTTGCTATTACAGTGAGTGCATCCATCCATGGATTCCTCAGCTAGCGATACTAGGATATTCGGAATCTTGTTTTTTTTTTTTTTTTAAAAGAAAAAAAATGAGGAACAAGTGTCTGGTGCATTTTCTCGCTGGAGATTTTAAGTTACAGACAATACAAGAAATGGAAGATGTCATTAAATGGGAGACGCGCATACGACGTTGTGCAAGCAAGAGCTACTAAAGAGCTTGTGCTAGCTTGTTGCTGCAGACATAGTGCAATGATCAGTTGTGCTGGGACGTGGATATCAGACCAAGAAGTAAGAGAAGGTTTCTCTTTGAGATGATTGCGCCCTATGGTCCTCTCGACTATGCAGGCCCAAGTTGATCCAAGTAGTTTTGGCACTCCTTCAGAGATTTACCACAAACCATTTATGCTATTTACTTACTATCACCGTATTTTCTCTTCCAGAAGACTGCAGCTGAAAGAAAATAGGGAGACCTTATGTAACCTTCAACATCAGCACTTTTGCCCAAACTGGCCATATCACAAGATATAGGTTTGATGTTGAAAAACAAATAGATTGATCTGTAAACTACGTAAAAATAACATTAGTAAAGCCATGCTGCATCTTCACTGCCAACCCCCAACTCAGATCTTACATGTAGCACCCAATACTCCTTAAAACAATGTTCCTTTGTCTCCAAGTTGCATACATCATGCACACTTGCAACATGAGATATATTGACTTCTACTCTTCCTCAAGAGGAAATCTTCCATGCTTTGGCACCAGAACCACATCAAGCTACATTACTTTGTCAAAGACTGAACTTTTTAGGCTACCGATCACCCTTTTACATCAACGTTCCTTGGTCTCACCAGGGTGCCCGCATTAACCTGTACACTGGGAGAATGGCATATTGACTTCCTGCTTAGTCTCACCTGGGCATATCTAATTTATAAGCAACTTTTTTAAGGAGGGTCACGGGAAAGGGAGAGGTTCCGAGATGAGTAAGTTACTTTGTTCATACTAAATCAGGATAGTGCCTTCGAACATCACATACACAATATGCAAGCAAGCAATAAAAAGAGGAGCACAGGTATGAGCGCCTTTCCTTTAAAAGGACTTTCTCGAGTGCATTTGCTTGAGCGAGCGTATTCTCTTTTCACCAAACCTCCCTCAAAAAAACCTTAGAAGTCGAATGACAAGACAAATATAGCTTCTTGCTCTTTCGGAAGCAGTTCCACCCGTACCCATATATATAGTGCACTGATCGATCCGATCCCTTCCTACTTCAGGGTTCCAAACACTTGTCAACACAAAAAAATACAGCTGTGACCCCCCTAAAAGAAATTATTACTTGGGAAAATGCCCACAACTCCCACGGAGAACACGAATAATTGTCTGGGAAGTACGCCCATTGAAACAGAAGCATTCGCTAGGAAGAAGAATCACAAGTCAACATCAAGAGTATCAAGTGCATATAATTGGAAATGGCCATCTTAGAAGTAAACCAAATGCCATTGGTAGACCAACGGTAATGCCAATTTCTTTCTTTTTCCCTTGTATTCACTTGAGAATAGTTACACTAGACTATCTACCCGCAATGCAACCTCACCCTGGAGAAAGCCCACAAAACAGGTCACTAATCAATTTGATTAAAGAACAAAAGCCATCGATAGCATGAGAAATTCACCACTTAGTTGCCAGTACAAAGCCGGTAGAATGCTCCTAAAAACAAATTATTATTTTTTTTGATCCGGTCCTCAAAACAAATTAAAGAAGCCAAAGATTACTCCTTCCGAATCATCCTACCCAACATCTACAGCAAAGCCAATCTCCTTCAACTGGTCCTCCGTTGTCTACAAAAAAAAACATAGCAACATCCCAAAAATAATGATCCATAAAACAGTTCTAAAGGGTTTTCTCATGAAGAAATAAAGACAAATCCAAACATCATGTGGCCATCTAATCAAACCAAAAGCTCTGACAACGCATCAAAACACGTGATTTCTGATTCCCTCAGCACCACCTTGGGCAATCAGTAGGAAAAAATACCAAACAAAATCCCACTTGTTATAATTCAGGATACTGAACTCGGATTTTTCATTGAATAAGGTGGCCTACCCACAACAGTTGGGTGTCACTCACCACCCAATCAACACTTGCAAAGAACTGGTCTGGGTAAATGTTGAAAGCGTTTCAGTTATGCTTTAAGTTTCGCGGCAAAAATAAGTGTTGCCCTTGCAGACTGCATTAATCTGTCTGCACCTGCTTGTGAAATCAAAAAACACCACAGGACGAGCAAACAGGATCAAGCCTACAACCAGCGCTTCCCAGAGCAACACCCAAAAAAAGAGTTCCCAAACACCCATAACAAGAGAGGAGAGGGACTTTCCAAATACCTTATTCTTTTGGCACCACATTTCAGTTACTCGTTACAATCCATAGTTGATGCAGATGATAGACAACACCAGAAAGCTTGCACACAGATCACAAGTTGGCAAGAGTCCACAAATTGAGCAAAGTACTGCTAACATGCACAAAGAGACTGCAGCAACAAGAACCAATTCTACAACCAAAACAGAAACAACAAGCATTTCCAACAACCACCAAAAACCACAAAGACCAAAAAATTACCACAGAAATGTGCCCTCAGCATGGGAAGTTCATTAATCATGGACAACTACTCCAGCCACGATGGAAAAGCAAGGAACCTTCCGAAATAATTAAAATTTTGTTCTATGAATATGACAACAAAAACAAAAAATTCCCTAAAAAGACAAGGTCCAATCCCCAGCAACAAGTCAACCCACCAAACAAAAAACCCAGAGTGAAACAATCCAAACTGAAACCAGTCAACCCACCTGAATGCCCATGAAAAAATCTCGATGCTCGAATAATCTACAAAATCACCAATTTACAGAGAAGCGAGGAATCTCAGACCCACATAGAAGTGTTGATTAATTCTGAAAATAGTGATGAAGAAAAGATAACCATAATTTTTCATTTAAGGACCTCCCCACCCAAATGCAACTTTTTTAATTTCCAGTAGATTCGATGCCATATCAAGAAAGTAGATTAGCCAAACATTACCTTAATATGGAACAGTAGCAGTACAACACAACCATCGCAAACAACATTTCCTAAATATCACCCCATACATAAAATTCTGCAAAATTAGACAAATTCGTTGTTGAGGGGTTGGGTGGATTTGTAGTTTTGTGTGTTTCGCAGAGCTATGGGGTAACAGGAAGACAACAGCAAAAGGAACTTTCATATTTAGTATTCCAATACAGAAACAAGCAATAGAAAAGGGTGCAATGGAACATAATAATTACCAAAAATAGTGCTCAAACCGTTAATAAAAGATCCCTGTCCTCAAACCTTTAATAAGCACAATTCACCTATCTCAACCAAATATCAATACTCAGACATAAGGAAACCAACAGAACACACCATACAAGGGAGACCCATTAAAAAGGTTGCAAATCTGTGACCGGCAGCAGCATACACAATTAAATCCCTGCAAAACAACAAACCAAGCAAAAAGGAACCAATGAAGCAATCACTAATCCAAATGAATAGACAGGAAGAGTAAGTTCAGACAAAAAAAAGGAAAACCATTGTGTATGAGCAGGCCGCTGAACCAAATGCCTCCCAGATGGGCAGAGCAAGTAGCCTATATAATCTGGAAACTCGGACCATGCAACCTCGCAAATGAGAAGGCTACAAGAAAAAGGAAAAAAAAATATAAGAGAAAGATAATTGCAAACACAGATGATGAACAATAGGAAAACCAGAAACATATGCATACATTGAGTTGAATCACATTGGTTTTTTTTTTTTTTTGGCTTTTATGCATCTTTTTTTTTTAGAGAGGGCGAGAGAGATAGAGAAGTGGGGCTGGAAGCACACAAAACCTTTGTCAATGGGCTCTCACATACAAAGAAATAGAAACAATGCAAAGACCAAGGTTGTGCCTCATTACAAATAACTGAAAAAGAAGAGCAACAAGTAACAAAATATATCAGGAAACTCAAAAAATTACACGGTGAAAGAAAAGGGTGTAGCCTTTTTTTTTTCTTTCCTAGGGTGGATAGAAAACTAGGTGTGAGAGAGAGAGAGAGCAGTGGGGCTGGAAGCACACAAAACCTTTGTCAATGGGCTCTCACATACAAAGAAATAGAAACAATGCAAAGACCAAGATTGTGCCTCATTACAAATAACTGAAAAAGAAGAGCAACAAGTAACAAAATATATCAGGAAACTCAAAAAATTACACGGTGAAAGAAAAGGGTGTAGCCTTTTTTTTTTCTTTCCTAGGGTGGATAGAAAACTAGGTGTGAGAGAGAGAGAGAGCAGTGGGGCTGGAAGCACACAAAACCTTTGTCAATGGGCTCTCACATACAAAGAAATAGAAACAATGCAAAGACCAAGATTGTGCCTCATTACAAATACCCGACAAAGAAGAGCAACAAGTAAAAAAATATATCAGGAAACTTAAACGGTGAAAGAAAAGGGTGGTCTTTCCTTTCTTTTTTTTTTTTTTTTCTATTTCTAGGTCGGATAGAAAACTAGGTTTTCACTCCAAATCCAAAATTGATAATGCTCAGATAAACTAAAATGTTTAAGTAAAAAATGTTGATTTATTTTCACACAAGACGATATTGTAGAATATAACATAAAAAATCATAAACTCGGGTGTATGAAATTGAATCAAAGTACACGGAGAGAAAGAAAATGAGAGACAGACAACACCATCAACAATGTCATGACGAGTAACAAAGCCTCTTAAGCAATACACCGTTCAAGAGCCATGGCATGATTGTAATGAATATGAAAGAGACAAAACCAGTCTAACATAGAAATAACCCAAGGAAAATGAATCCTCATAAAGCAGTTAGTCAATCAACACTTCACATCATGTTACTCTTGTAAAGCATCCAACCCAAAAAAATCTAACTTAACCACTAAATGGTCTTCGAAATAGCAAAAACACCAAGGGTATCTAATAGCAGAAATCCACATGCTCCTACCCCTTCCAAGTTCAACACAGTCCTCACAATAAAATATATACAATTTCAACTCAAAAAGAAATTAGATAACCAAAGAAAAGAAAAAAGAAACCATTACCCAACAGAACCCTGCATTCAATGTTTGTAGTCTTCTATTGTGGTCCCCTGGTTTATAAAGGCTCGTGAAGTTAATTCATCCTGTGCAACAATTCCAGATACGACACAGGAACAAAAAACCATTGGACAGAATCAAAAACTCAATTGCTAAACCCGATAAGAGCAAACATCTAAAACTGAAACAAGCAAACCCAAAAAACCAGAAATCACAATGTTAGAATAGTCTACATCATAAAAAATATACAGAGAAACAACATTAGTCAGACCCAAATAGAAGTGTTGATTAATTCTGGAATGACAGTAAGAAAAGAACATATTTTACACGCGAAGACCATGACCCCCATATGGTACTTAAATTTTTTGTATATTCGATGCCCTACCAAAAGAAGGGGATTAGAAAGACATCAATCACCACAACAAAAGCATTGAATTTGAAATAGGTCAACCACCATAAACAAGTGTAATTCCAAACAATACATGTCCATTCCCCACCCACTGTCTCAAAATCTGCAAAATTGTCACGTTTACAGTTTTTGTTTTGTTTTTTTTTTTAGAGGGGGTGCTGCAGAACAATAGGGCAACTGATGACCAATATCAAAAGGAACCTTCATATTTACCATTCAATTGCAGAAAGATGAACTAGAAGCAGGCGTGCTACAACATAATACAACGAGTGATGCTCTTAGATGGATAAAAACATCCCAATTTTGTAAATAAAAATCATCCTGTTAAATAAAAATGGTCCCTGCAGTCAACCCGTACAACCATAATACGTCTATCTTAACCAGATAGCATTCACTCAGCCCCAAGAAAATCAACAGACAACAACTTATAAGGAGAACACATAACATTGTACCATATATCTGACAAGAAGTGTGATCCTTACCAACACCCACAATTAGATCCCTGCAAAATAACAGACCAACCAAAAAGTTAACACGGAAGCGATCACTAATACAAATCAAAAAATAGGAAGAAAGAGTTCAGAAAGCAAGACATGTATTGACCAGCCGAACTAATAACTTGGACTTCCTAGAGAACAGAACAAAGGTAGCCAATGGAATTTTGAAACTTGAGACCACGCAATCTCGCAAATAAGAACGTCAACAGAATAAAAAAAAGAGAGGGAGAGAAGAATGATACATGTAAAAACAGAAGAGAGCCAAAATGAACAAAGTAAAACGTATATATCGAGTTAAATAACATTGGGATGGGGGGTAGCTAGGGTTGAGGGAACGTAAAGCAGTGACATAATATATTATTTCTTGCAACGGCACCCCGCAGCAACAACCTAGCCTGACAGCGGGCAGCTGAAAGCATTCAGAGAACAAAGTGCATACACATTTACCAAAATGACTTTCTTTATCAATATACTGTTTCTTCTACACACATCTCCATTTCATAATGAGATTGGTAACAATTAGAAAAGGTTGCCTCAGTTTGCATTGTTATATGCTCCACATACAGGAACATAGAATAAATGGGAAGCAAGAGAGATATTATAGTAGAAGGCTAAAGGATAAAAAGGAGAAGAGGATAAGCACGTCCTACAGCAGAACCCGCAGAAACAAATCCATCACTTCTTACAGTCCAATCCAGTGAACGATCAAGATAAAAGTAGTTTGATTGACACAACAAATACACAGAGAAAGGCAAAAAATCACAGCATAATAGGAAGGAAAATTAAAAACTTGCACATTGAGGCAGAAAGGAGTGAAGATTCACCCTTTTCTGGGAAAGGATTTTCCCCCCCGGGGTGGGTGGTGGGTCAAAAACTGTACGTCTGTACCATCAGCAACCGCAAAAAATGGAGAGAAAGCAAGGATCTGACTCCAAGTGCATTGATAATTATGCTCAGATAATGCAAAGTAACAACTTTCTGTGTTCTTTCATGAAAGACAATATAATAAAACACAGCACAAAACAATGTACCAAAACAAAACTGATGCTATTTCATCTAATCGAAGTACACCAAAAGGGAGACAAACATGGACAGGGCTGAAGTGGGGCAAAGGCTTGCACAACAGCATGGCATGAAATAAAACCTCATATATCAACTGTGGTAGTTCATATCCTAAATACAACCAGTACATCATATAAACATTCTTATTGCCAACAAAATTTAAGGTGAACATATATACGTAATATGACCTCAAGGTAAAAGTATTGTTATAAGAAGAAAAAGAACCTGATCAAACCCACTATCCAACTATAACAATGATAATCCACCAACAGCAATTTCCATTTTTTTTTTACTTTTCCTCATTCTTATTAATATTTTCTTCTTCTTTTTGCCCTCTTAGCTTTTCTGCTTAGTTTCAAACCCAATATACACATAAACCATACTGCAGCTTCTACCAGCACTGGGACCTCTTTTCAAACAAATCACTCCTCTTGCTCCAGACACATCAAGTGGAATTTAGGATAAGATGATGCAGATTAGTGAAAAAGCAAACCAAAGGGAATGTAAGATTTGGTGATCCAAACACATCTTGCTTGCTAACAATAGTGAATTTTTAATCTTAACATTGGAAGCAGCACAGTATACACTTCAATGTGCAAAATAACACAGCAAGAGCCATTGATTTAGGAGGCAGTGAACGATGCCTCCGTACAACGGACCAGAAAGGTTTTATCAATGCAACGTGCCAGACTTGGCCAAGAAATTTGTCATTTCACCATCTTCTTTTTCACCTACAAGACAAACTATAACCTCAATATCTTTCAAAAACCTGCATGATGTGATGACTAATAAGGAGCTCCATTGTGTTGACAAGCAAGGCAAAGATGACATCAAGGAAAAATAAAAGCATCAATACATGACTACGTGAAAACTAGAGATCGTGTGAGTGAAGATTTGGAGTAAATGCCATGGTAGTAGTGGCCTGCTCGTCATGCAGCAGCAGCGGCAGCAGCGGCAGCAACGTCATGTACTTGTTGGCCAAACCATGTGTAGTAGTAATGGTGTTCAACTGACAGATCAATAAAATGCTACAATGATGTAAATTAATCTTCATGGGGTATAATCAAATTGTTTATTAGGGTATCAAAGGGATCTCCTCCAAAAAAAGGCAGATTCCATACACACTTCCACAAAGAGCACAGGAACTTACCTTGTTGTCAAGAGTCCAGAACCGAGCATAGTCTTAAAACCTCCCAGTGTGCAGTAGCAGGAAGCCAGGAAAAACATTCTAAATGACTAAAAAACATTTCCAACATTCTACCATCAATGTCGTCAAGCATTGGATTGAGATATTTCCTTGCTGCTACAGCCAAGCACCACAAAAAATTACGCAGAAATGGTCTTCTCAGGCTCGTGAAGTTAATTCATCACGTGCAACAATTCCAGCTATGAAATAGGAGCAAAAAACCTTTGGAAAGAATAAAATTTTTGTGGCCTTCACTTGCTAATCCCAATAAGAGCAACCATCCAAGACAGAAACAAGCCAACCGAAACACCCAGAAGTCAACTCTTTAAACGCCATGGAAAAAAAATCACAATGCTGGAATAATCTACATCACAAATCTACGGAGAAACCCAAATAGAAGTGTTGACTAATTCTGGAAATGACAAAAAGAAAAGAACATAATTTACACACAAAGAACACAACCCTAGATGGTACTTATAATTCATGTATATTTAATGCCCTATTAAAAGAAAGGGATTAGAGAACCACGACAAAACCATTGAATTTGAAATAGGTCAACCGCTAGAGACAAGCCTAATTCCAATCGATCCATGTCCACTTCCCACCCACTGCCTCAAAATCCAAAAAATTGTCACTTAAAGGTTTTTATTTTGGAAGGGGGGCTGTTTGTGTTTGCAGAGCAATGGGGCGCTACAGATGACCAACAGCAAAAGAAACCTTCCTATTTATCATTCAATTGCAGAAAGAAGAAAAAGAATTAGGCTAGGTGCAACATAATACCACGAGTGACGCTCTTAGATGGATGAAAACATCCTTATTCTCGTGAATAAAAATAATCTTCTTAAATAAAAAGAGACCCTTCAATCAACATGTACAACCATAATACGTCTATCTTAACCAGATAGCAAACACTCGGCCCCAAGAAAACCCAACAGAGAACAACTTAATAAGGAGTACAATTAACATTGTACCATATATGCGACAAGAACTGTGATCTATACCAACATACAATATTAGATTCCTGCAAAACAATAGACCATCCAAAAAGATACCACATAAGCAATAGCAAATCCAAGTCAAAAAATAGGAAGACTGAGTTCAGAAAGCAAGGTGTATGACCAGCTGAACCAATAGCATGGACATCCTTGGGGACAGATCAAGGGTAGCCAATGCAATTTTTAAACTCAAACAACGCAGCCTCGCAAAGAAGAAGGTTAAACGAATAAGAAAAAAGAGAGGGAGAGAAAACAGATACATATAAACACAGAAGAGGGTCAAGATGAACAAAGTAAAACCACAAACAAATGTATGTGTCGACTTAAATCACATTGGGCTGGGGATTAGTTGGGGTTGGGGGAATGTAGAGCAGTGACATAATATATTATTTCTTGCAACGGCACCTGCAGCAACAACCTAGCCTGACAGACAAAGTCTATGGCCATAACTCAAAAGGCGGCAGAAGATCTTTCGAAATCGAGTAGCTAAAAGCATCTGCGAAACCATTCCGAGAACAAAGTGCGTATACATTTACCAAAATGACTTCCTCTTTGAATAGTAAAGAGGGAAAGGAAAAAATCAAATACTAGTTCTACCTACAGCACTGGCAAAATCAGCAATTTTCTAATGAGGCAATTAGCTGCCAGTTATGTTTGTTACTAGAAAATAAAATGGTTACAAATCCTATACTACAACACAATAGTTATTTTGATTTAACCAAAAAAAATGATTTTTCTTTATCAATATAATTAGTCATTCCATAGTGGAGAGTGGCAATAATTTGGAAAGGTTGCATCAGTTCAAATTGTTATATGCACAACACACAAGAACATAGAATAAATGCGAAGGAAGAGAGATGATACAGTAGAATATCTGGCTAAGGGATCAAAACGTCCTGCTGCAGCAGAATCCTCAGAAACAAACTCATCACCTCTTACGGTCCAGTGAACAATCAAGCTGGAATCAGTTTGATTGACACTGCAAAGACACGGGAGCAAAAAATCACACCATAATAGGGGGAAAATATAAAACTTGCACAGCAAAATAAAAAGAAAAGAAGATTCCCCCTTTTCTGGGAAAGTATCCCCCCCCCAAAAAAAAAA